GGATATAAGATTGATGATGGAAAATAGAGATTGCGACAGTATTGAGAAAATTGGGCTATTTTGCAACTTCTTTTCTCTTTTTTACGTAGCGTTCTGCATTGAATATGCGACCGCGACTCTTCCACTTCCACGAATTTTTCCAAGTTATTTCATGTGACGAGACTTTGTTGAGATGTCGTAGACACAAGTAGTATTGAGATTGAAATTACTAAAATCCTCAGTTCCTTTGCCTTGATAGCCCAACCTCATCAAAACATTGCCAACAGGAGTGATTAGCAAATTATTGATACAGGCATGACGGCCTATTCCCACATACATCCTCCTCAATCTTGTTAGCTTATTATGGTCATGGCATTTCAAACATGGCGTATATGCCACAAGTTTTCCATTTCCCCGACTAATTACTTTGAAATAGTGTTTATATGTTGAGGAAATGGTTGGGTTGAAATATAACACAAAGACTTGCCAGTAGATAGTTTTATTACAGTTTTTATTCAGTGTAACGTAGGGCTGGAAAATAAACTAATAAGAGCTCCGCTTTTAGGCTTGGCTAAATCTATATATTATTGAAATTGAAATTAGAGTAATAACTCCTTGTTACGTTTTGTTTGATTGTGGGAAATGCGTAAAACAAATAACATCGATGTGCTTTTTACTCACCTTCCAAATAACTGTATGGAATGAGAGCGTTTCAGTGCACCACTCAACTTTTATCACAATCCGAAATGACGTTAAAATGGACGCTGCCCGCGTTTCCTTCCTTCGGCGCGAAAATTTAAGCTGGCAATTGTTAGAGAGGAACATCGCCTGTTTCAATTTCGCGCTCCCATTTTGCTCCTTTATGGATGTTTTCACAAGTTGTACCTCGTTTAATTCGGTTGCTTAGTAAGTTTCTGAGCGCCTTCTGCGCTTCCGGATAACAATTATTAGCGATTTGGAATACTGCGTATCGTGCTTTATGAGCACTAGCAGTGTATTGAGAGGTTGAGACCGCAATTTCACATTCTTTGGAAAAATTGCAAGTGACCATACGTGCTCAAAATTAAACGAGTCCTTACATTTTCTTGTTGGGAAAAATTTTTAACGGTTTCCATAATTTTCTTTTCTGTTCTTGATAATTTTCAACTTCTCGCTGCAAGCTTTTTTTATGGAGACCCCCAAAATTTGCGTATAGACTTTTGATTACCATCAATAGCATATATACTGTTAGTAAACATATACTTTTAAATTTAACCCCATAGCATCTATAATATAATCAGTCCTCTACACGGACATGGAGAAGTTGCGAATGAAAATCCATTAATATTACCACACAATTTATCCATAGTAGGGGCTTTAGTTTTGTTGAAGAGATGTGCGGGAAAAAAATGCGAGCTCCGCTTTTAGGCTTGCCTAAATCTATATATTATAATTTACGCCCGCGCCACTAGACAAAGCAACCTTTTCCACCGCCCGCTGTGAGGACTGAGATCACAAAACGATCTTTCTATTACCATGGGTTCACTATTTTTAACGAACTATCTTGATGGTATTTCGTATTTATTTAGTTATAAATTTTTTACTTGTACATAGTTTTCTATCTATATTAATATCAGTATCGTTGTAATGCACATATATACCATATTTTTAGTGCTTTGTTGTCCTCAGGGCTTCCATTGATAGCAGACAGCTTTTTGCATCTGAAGGGGCTACCCTGAGCGGTATAAATCAATAAAGGTTCTTCTTCTTCTTCCTCTTCTTCTTCTTCTTCATCTTTGATCTTCCAACGGTAAAGAAACGGGTTTAAAAGTGGAGTTAAAGAAAACTACAACATTCGCTATGCCCCTGATTATGGAGAAATTCCATAATCGGTTTAAACTTTAAGATATTTTCTGTATCGCACCATGTTCGGTGCATTTGTTTTGTTAGGCTGTTGTCAAACATGATCTTGTAAATAAGCCAAACCTCAATCTGTGAATAATGATTACATATAAAGTTCATCAGTAGCGTTTGACTATGCAAAATGCACAAACAAGCTGTCTGGTGCGTCACACGAAAAAGAAAAAAAAGGGGCCAGGTTTTTCCGCGAATTTGAATTAGAAAAGCAGCCCGCAAGCAAATATACATTTGTGGTAGAATTATTTCACAATGCGACTACAAAAACCCCGTTTACTCAAATAAACTTTCATTGGGGAGTGATAAGGTGGTTTATCGACTATTGATATAATTTATGCAAACTTAAGACGCCGAGAATTATCTTAAGTGAAGGTAAAAGCCTTTTTTTAAAACGCTAATCGGTATTGGGAAAAATACAAAACCGGATTAAATAAACCTATTCAACATTAATGTATGGTTACAGATGCATAGTTACCCCTAAAAATATTTGAATTTTTGTTCCTTGTTCTCTACGTGACACACCTGAATGGAACATTGAGATAATGACAACCTCTCTACTAATCAAACTGCATTGAATTCTGCCTCTGTGCCCTAGAAAGTGTGAAAATGGATCTAGCGGGGAACAGTTTACTGCAAACATTATTAACAACACGAATTCTCCTTCACTAAGGACAATACTTTTTTCTGCAAATCATCTTCAGCTTTTATAATATATGTTAGGTTCTAGTAGTAAACATTGCTATTAGCGAAAATTCTCCGTTTAAGAAATCGACCGTGGCCATGGTTCATTGTGGTCTGTGCTGTTATCGACAACGATATTCTTCCTTACAGCGGTCAAAATTTTGTGGGCTCATTAGGGTACTCGGTAAAAAGTTGATGTTGGTAACATACTGAAAAATAGCTACTCTTATCAACCATGTTAGAGCTTTTTTAATCATTTCTTATTATAATTTTCTTGTGTTATAATCTGCGAGATAATTTTAAGCAAACAATTGGTCTCAAATGATAACTCTATAATAAATAGAGATGATCAGCTTCTTTTGTAAGCATTTCCCTATATTTGAACAGATGTTAACAAAGTCTGCATGTTTAATTTACAAAGTGTCGTTAAAAACACCATGGCTAATTCCACTCATGAAAAATCGAGCGGCTGGCTCCGTTCACAGTACGTTATCACTAAACCATATTTCTGATCTAAGGTGACATATCTCATTAAGTTTAATTTTGATCGCAAAGGAGACCTGAGCGTATTCTGACTCCAAAATAACTGATTGCCTTTACTACTCCATCGAAAATGCGCAGCTTGACTACAAACTACAATTTTTCACCTATTGGTTATTTGTTATTCGAATATGCTATTAAGAAGTAGCTCTTCATACCTCTACTATTTTTATCATAAAATGTCATACCTTCCCTCTCTTTTAACAATTATAATTTTTCAAATAAGCTACAGAAGAAGCAGTTTATTCCAATGTTAAAATAGGTCTACCCCTATGCATAGCAGATTGCTTGTCTGATTGTCTGCTTTACCGCTCGTCTCACTTCACTTATCTTCCAGCAGTAAAGGAACGGGTTTAAAGTAGAGTTAAATAACACAAAGAAAGTTGCCATTTCGCTGATTATAATGAAATTCGGAAATCGTTCTTTACTAAGAGACATCGCAATTTTCAGTGTAAATTGTGGTACATAACAGACAACTAGAGCTAACTGCACCCACAGCGCATTGTACACTGCCTTTCTGTATCGCGCCATGTTCAGCGCATTTGGTTGGCTCGGCTGTTGTTGAGCATGATCTTGTACTTGAGCTTGATGATGACTGATAGCGTGGAAAATTTTTGTGTACGAGGCGATGGAGATAATCAGGCAAGATGATATAACTATAAAGCCGCACCAAAAGGTTATATGGTAATCGAAAAGAGAGAATAAACCAGCGACTAGACATACAACCCAAAATATAGCTAAAATGATATACGTGCGCCTTAAAGTTACAATCTCTTTGTATCTCAACGACATGGCGAGAAGTCGGTCTACGCTTATGGCCGTCAGAGTCAACAAAGACACTCCGCATAATGCATAGCCTGATATGTAAATTGCGTCCCTTGCGTATCGACAAAGACTCCAGTGTTCGTGAATCAAAGACATCCAATAAGTAGCACAGAGGGGCTGGGTAACAAGACCAACCAACAGATCGGTTGTTGCCAAACAACGGTACAAGAGTTTGGATGGCGGATGGAGGGAAGATTCCTTGTAAAGGGCAACAAGGATAAGAGAATTCCCGAGAATTGCTGTGACGGAGAATAGAATGTTGATTGCTGAGAATGAAATGGACTGTTGTTTTAATTCACCTACCCAAACTGGTGAGCATAACAATCTTTCATATGTTTTCGTCTGTGTTCCACTTCCCGTTATATTTGTTATTATTATCATACTGCAGTCGTTTCCACTAATTTGCAGGTAATCCTTAGTTACAAAAAATTCACCACTAGCGTCTGATTATGTAAAATGCTCAAAAGCTGTGAGATTTGTGACACGAAAGAGAAAAAAAAGCCGACTTTTCTGCGCGAATTTGAATTAGTAATAAGGGGAAATTAAAAATGCATTTGTGATAGGTTAATTTCCTAACACAACATAAAAAAAGAAAAAAAATTAGAAAATGAAAAACCTCTTCACTCAGAAAAACCTTCAGTAATAGGATATCGAAAGTAGACCGACAGTCGGTCGACATTCGACACATTTTGAATTATTAATTCAAGTGATCTGTGGACGCCATGAATTGTTATCAGCTCAGGCAAACTGAGAGTGCCTTTTTACTAGGCCGATTAGCTAGCTAAAAATTCTTTGTAGATTTTTGTTTAGAGACTAACGTTTGCTAGTTAAACGTGACATCTGTTTTAACTGGAAAATTTGAATCAGGATTTAACCCGCTGACGATTCAAATTACAATTACAAAAGCACGCACTGGTTACGAACAAACAATTGACTGATAATTAACTCTTCCAATTCTCATTGAGGTACATAGTCCAGCGTAGCACGCGGTCATCGGAGTCATTCAAGTCGGGCCAGCCAACGGAAACAGCACATATACAAAATCAACCTCGCAAGACATTAAAGCGCTTGCTTTAGTAATGACACCAAAACCATTTTTCTCTACACTCCTATGTTTGGTAGCAAGCCATGGCCCGGAGCCAACTCCACGGAAGAGTATCTTTTGAAATGTCCAACAAAAAAAATCCCAAATAACGTATAATGTCTACGATATAGGAAAAAGTGATTTAGTTATTTTTCATGCTCGTGATGTGCAAAGTTATGTAAGAACGAAAGAAATTCAACAGATTCACAATTACCGGTGCCCACAGCAAAGAATGGCGTTTCTAAACCAATAATCCATTGTCAATAACCCAGATTTAAAGAACCGTCTTTCCTTGCCGGAGGGGTTCTTTAATTGAACTATAACTTTCAAAAGGGAGTCAGATTTTCCCTATCCTTATGGTCGGTTTAGCCCATACTAATTTTATCTTTACGCTATCATGTTATTTTGTTTTGTCCAAGCTTTGTTTTATCCAAGCTTTGTTTTTCTTACATTGTTAAATCTTAAACTGTATAAAAGTTATTTAATTTTATTCTTTGTAATTAGTCTTCCTGGTATAGTTATTACTGTTTCAGGAGTATCTCGATTAAAGGCACTTGTTTTAGTTTCTTTTAACTCGGCTTTAAACCCCGTCCTTTACTGCTGAAGGATCAGTGAGATGAGACAAGCAGTCTACTCCAATCTTTTTTATACATTATACGTGTATACATGTATAATTACATTATATATGCCCTTACCACCGAACGACAGAGACTCCAAGGAAACAAGGCCATAACTAGCTTCATGTGTGCCTCGTGCCATAAAGGAATCGCAATGTCATTTCATTCATATCCTTCTTATTCCAACCGGTAGTTGGCATTTCGGTTGACTAACTTGGAATTAAACACGAGAAAAATAGATCAATTTTTTGATGGTTTTCTGGGTTTTCTCTAACCTAATGCTTTATTTCCTGTTTTCCACGCAATTCAGTAACAGGAAATACTAAAAAAACCTCGGTTTTATCTACAATTCTTTTAGAGAGACTCTGCCAACAACATTTCGAGGTGTCCTCTAAAGAAAAATGTGCAAGTTGTAAACATTCCGCTGACTTCTGTTAAATTAAGAATCCTTCCAGAGACGGTGATATATCCAAGCTGCTCCGAATCAAATCTTATTGTTCTTATACCTCTTGACATGGCTTCACCAAGGATTTAAAATCAAAAGACAAAGAAATTACAAAAGACAGGGGGAAACGAACGTTGACTCGAATTCGAACTTGCCCTGTGGATTGAAGAATAATTTTTTTTACGTATAGAGAAGTATCTTGACTAAGAGGTTCCTTAACCCCTTAACTCCCATGAGTGATCAACCAGATAAGTAATGAGAATAAATCAATATATCAGTTTGGGGATAATTAGTTGATCCAATATTAAATTCTCTGAACTAACATCATAAGAATTGCATGGTTGACAGTAAGGAGAATTACAAATTTGACCTGGGAGTTAAAAGGTTTAACTTAATACTTGAATTCAGGTGTTGAAAGATACTACGACTAGAAAGTGGAGTGACTAACAAATACGAAATGTATGCTCTGATAAAAGGTATCACATTTACAGCATTCCCAGCCTTAGATTGCTATTGAAAATATCTGAAGGCGACTCCGTCAGCTGCTTGTCTCCTGAATACCTAGCAACATAAAATTATATAATCTAACGATGTTAATGAATGGATGTCACATTTTGCTGGAAGTATTACTTTATAGCTAATCCTCTACGTTGTAGGTAATAATTACTCCATAATGCACCTATCATTTTAAAGCTTCAACATTTCTAGTTAAACTCAAAATGAAGCGATCTGGTACCGAAACATCTGCAACACAACCGTGTGTAAGCCAACACGCACTTGAAATTTTTCGTGACTTTAGTCGACCAAAACAAACTTATTTTCACCATGGATATAACATCTCTTTACACTGTCATTCCCAATGACGAAGGTCTCCGGGCCCTCAAACATTTTTTCGATCAACGCACTGTTAAGGAACCTAGCTCTGAAACACTACTCCGTCTGGCCGAACTAGTACTCACACTCAATTGCTTTTCATTCGGTGGTAACTACTACAAACAAACTAATGGCGTGGCCATGGGTACTAAAATGGGACCCAGCTACGCCAATCTTTTTGTAGGTTTTATCGAACATCAATTTTTTAGCCAATACCACGGCCCAAAACCTCAACTCTACGGCCGCTACATTGACGATTGCATCGGCGCTACCTCCTCTACCAAAGAGGAGCTCACTCAATTTATAACCGCCGTTAATTCCTTTCATCCGGCTCTTAAATATACCTGGGAAATTTCCGACACTTCTTTGGCTTTTCTAGACATCAAAATTTCAATTGAAGGCAACGGCTTATGTACCAGTGTTTACTACAAACCTACAGATTCACATAGTTACTTGTTGTATTCATCCTCACATCCATCACACGTCAAGAACTCCATACCTTTTTCACAGTTTCTCAGACTTCGTCGTTTATGTAGTGACGACTCTGATTTTTCCGAAAAATCAGAGGCAATGTGCAAGTTTTTCGATAAACGCGGCTATCCTGTTTCTGTCGTTCAAGCGGGCTACCACCGTGCCCAACAAATCGATCGACAGGCAGCACTACAAACGGCCGAGAAGGAGAACACGGATCGCATTCCATTTACTCTTACATTTCACCCTCGCAACCACGCAGTTAAATCTATCATTCTTAAAAATTTTAAATTACTCCAAAACGATTCAGAGACTGGCACTATCTTTTCGCAACCCCCACTTATTTCATTCAAACGTGACAAAAACATAGGTAACTTTTTAGTCAGGAGTTCATTTCAAACCAATGACCAATCTGGAACTTTTAAATGCGCTCGCTCACGATGCAAAACTTGTCCTTTCATTCATAACGTAGAGAAAATATCGGGACCCAAAAGATCCATTAAGATCATTGATCACTTTACGTGTACCTCCGTCAATGTTATTTACTGCATAACTTGCACTAATTGCAATAAGTTATACATCGGCGAGACAGGAAGACGACTGGGTGACCGATTCCGAGAACACCTTCGCGATGTGGAAATAAATGACAAGGACGCATCCAAGCCAGTCGCTAGACACTTTAATCTTCCTTATCGTTCTAAACAGCATATGGCAGTTTGCGGCCTTTCCTTACATCTAGGCAGTTCGGAAAGCCGTAAAACACTAGAACAAAAATTTATATTTCAAATCGGCACCCTTAATCCCCACGGAATCAACAAGCGCTTTTCATTCAACTAATTTATTCCTGTTTTCTTGTCACAATATTCCCACCAATGGCGTAGCTCCACCTTCTACATATAAATCCACACACAACCCACAATTCCTCTAATCGCTCTGACGAAGGGCTAACGCTCGAAACGTCAGCTTTTTTACTCTTTACGGTGGCTAATTTACGTTTTCAACCCAGTTGTTAACACTAAATTACCTGCTATACTCTCCCACCGACGCAGCACCACAGTTTCTTTAGAAACTTACCCCTTTATTCATATGTTATGTTATGTTATGTTATGTCGTGTCGTGTCGTGTCGTGTCGTGTCGTGTCGTGTCATGTCATGTCATGTTATGTTATGTTATATTATGTTATGTTGTGTTATGTTATGTTATATTATGTTATGTTATGTTATGTTGTGTTATTTTATGTTATGTTGTTGTGTGTTATGTTATGGTATGTTATGTTATGTTATGTTATGTTATGTTATGTTGTGTTGTGTTGTGTTGTGTTGTGTTGTGTTATGTTATGTTATGTTATGCTATGTTAGGTTATGTTATGTTATGTTATGTTATGTTGTGTTGTGTTGTGTTATGTTATGTTATGTTGTTTCCAATTGAGGGACAACTCGAGATAAGTACGTAAAAAAACTTCTGAAATACATTAAAGTTGATGTTTATGACGACTGTTCGGGAAACTTTGGCCAAGACAATCAATGCCAGCCATCAAGCAATTGCAATGATATTTTCAGCACATTTAAGTTTTATCTGGCATTTGAGAACAGCGTTTGTACTGATTACATTACTGAGAAATCGAAAAGTGAATATGATATAAAAGACGAAATGGAGACAAATAATATGACAAATACATGGCACTTAGGGGAAGAGTTACCCGTTTTTCTTTTGCTCGGCTAACTCAAAGAGGAGAAGACTGGTTACGAAATGGTTTTCCTTGTGCTTGCTGGACTGTGTGGAAATAAAAAAATCTAATCAAGTTGCGCGCTAGCCTACATTTGCTGAAATGACAAGGAATCGAATTTTCTCAACTAAACAAACATTTTTCCAGCTAATAATGAATGAAATAGAGCCTAGTTTCCCGATTTTGCTACCTTTCAATAAGAACTGAACACCCTCTTTTTCAAGGCTTACACACGGTTGTGTTGCAGATGTTTCGGTACCAGATCGCTTCATTTTGAGTTTAACTAGAAATGTTGAAGCTTTAAAATAATAGGTACATTATGGAGTAATCATTACCTACAACGTAGAGGATTAGCTATAAAGTAATACTTCCAGAAAAATGTGACATCCATTCATTAACATCGTTAGATTATATAATTTTATGTTGCTAGGTATTCAGGAGACAAGCAGCTGACGGAGTCGCCTTCAGATATTTTCAGTAGTAATCTAAGGCTGGGAATGCTGTAAATGTGATACCTTTTATCAGAGCATACATTTCGTATTTGTTAGTCGCTCCACTTTCTAGTCGTAGTATCTTTCAACACCTGAATTCAAGTATTAAGTTAAACCTTTTAACTCCCGGATCAAATTTGTAATTCTCCTTACTGTCAACCATGCAATTCTTATAATGTTAGTTCAGAGAATCTAATATTGGATCAACTAATTATCCCCAAATTGATATATTGATTTATTCTCATTACTTATCTGGTTGATCACTCATGGGAGTTAAGGGGTTAAGGAACCTCTTAGTCAAGATACTTCTCTATACGTAAAAAAAGTTATTCTTCAATCCACAGGGCAAGTTCGAATTCGAGTCAACGTTCGTTCCCCCCTGTCTTTTGTAATTTCTTTGTCTTTTGATTTTAAATGCTTGGTGAAGCCATGTCAAGAGGTATAAGAACAATAAGATTTGATTCGGAGCAGCTTGGATATATCACCTTCTCTGGAAGGATTTTTAATTTAACAGAAGTCAGCGGAATATTTACAACTTGCAAATTTTTCTTTAGAGGACACCTCGAAATGTTGTTGGCAGAGTTTCTCTAAAAGAATTGTAGATAAAACCGAGGTTTTCTTAGTATTTCCTGTTACTGAATTGCGTGGAAAACAGGAAATAAAGCATTAGGTTAGAGAAAACCCAGAAAACCATTAAAAAATTGATCTATTTTTCTCGTGTTTAATTCCAAGCTAGTCAACCGAAATGCCAACTACCGGTTGGAATAAGAAGGATATGAATGAAATAACATTGCGATTCCTTTAGGGCACGAGGCACACATGAAGCTAGTCATGGCCTTGTTTCCTTGGAGTCTCTGTCGTTCGGTGGTAAGGGCATATATAATGTAATTATACATGTATACACGTATAATGTATAAAAAAGATTGGAGTAGACTGCTTGTCTCATCTCACTGATCCTTCAGCAGTAAAGGACGGGGTTTAAAGCCGAGTTAAAAGAAACTAAAACAAGTGCCTTTAATCGAGATACTCCTGAAACAGTAATAACTATACCAGGAAGACTAATTATAATAATTTTTATACAGTTTAAGATTTATCAATGTAAGAAAAACAAAGCTTGGATAAAACAAAGCTTGGACAAAACAAAATAACATGATAGCGTAAAGATAAAATTAGTATGGGCTAAACCGACCTAATAAATGAAAGAGCATTTGATCTAAATATATCTATATTACCAATGTTAGAAGAGCTTAGAGATATATTGTTCCACAAAACTACTGTCCTTGGATAAAAAGAGTATTTATATATATATATCATTATTCACTTTCAATTATTTGAAAGGACGACAGTTTGGAGCTCTTGATGGTCTTTCATTTGGTGTGACATCAGATGGGAGTGATATGCCAACGTGGCCCATATAGATTTTATAAAACATGGTGCCTTGTGAAAGAAGTCTTCGGTGATGGAGTGAATCCCAGCCAGGACTTTGTACCATAGGTGTAACGTGGCTATAACGCGAGTCGTCGTTAAAGACAAATCGAGCGGCTCTTCGTTGGACAGATTCAATTTTGCTTATGTTATGCTGCCTATATGGGTTCCATACAGAGGACGCATATTCGAGTTTAGGCCTTACAAGAGTACGGTATGCGATGTCTTTAACTTTATGGCTACATCCACCCAACACTCGGCGCAAAAGACCCAGAGTTGAGTTAGCATTTTTGCAAATATTATCTACATGAGTATTCTAGCTTAAGTTGCTTGATATCGTGACACCAAGGTATCTTGTAGAGTTAACTTTGGAGATATGCAGACCATTTAAAGTATATTGAAACAGGGTTGGGAACTTTTTACATGTTATTCCAAGATGATAACATTTTTTAACGTTAAAGTTAAGTTGCCAACTTTTCGACCATGAAGATAACTGGTCCAGGTCGTTCTGTAAAGACAAGCAGTCCTGCGAACTTTGAATTTCGCTGTATAGAATACAGTCACCAGCAAAAAGACGCAAATTAGCATTTATACAGATATCATTTATATACAATAGAAACAACACCGGCCCCAAAATTGAACCTTGCGGGAACCCAGACAAAACAGACTTGGAAGAAGATTGAGTGCCATTTATGGAGACAAATTGAGAACGGTTGGACAGGAAGGCCTTTATCCATAACAGCAAATTTCCTCTAATACCGTAATAGTCCAATTTCAGCAGTAGCCTTCGATGGGGTACCGAGTCAAAAGCTTTCGAGAAGTCAAGCAGGATAGCATCAGTCTGGTGGCATACATTAATTTATTTGGCCCAGTCGTGTATGGTTGTTATCAATTGGGTTTCGCAGGAGAAACGCTGTCTAAAACCATGTTGCTCGTCGATAATGATGTTATTTTTAGACAGGTGTTTGGCCATATGACTAAGCACAACGTGCTCCATTACTTTACAGCATATAGAGGTTAAAGAGATTGGTCGGTAATTTGAGGGAAGAGATTTATTGTCTTTCTTATAAACTGCAGTGATAAGGACCTTGGACCGGTCTGAAAGGACCGTGTTGAGATTAAGTGATTGCTGAAAAATAAAAGCAAGCCATCCAGAAGCAGATTGAGATATCTCTTTCAATACACGTGGAGGCAATTCGTCAGGACCGCATGCCTTGTTAGGGTTGAGCTGGGATAGTTGTTTAGCAACTCCTTCGGGTGATATATGTAAGTCAGCAATCGAAGAGTAAGGAGATATAGGAATTTTAGGTAAAAGTAATTGTTCATTCGTGAAAACAGAAAAAAAGTAGGAATTCAAGGTTTCAGCTTTATCTTTGTCTGTTGTCTTTATCTTTGTTCAGTCTTGAGAGGTGGAATACCAAGATTCTCTGAACTGCTGTGTTTTACATAAGACCAGAACTTTTTTGGGTTTTCTGTAAGGCTATCACCAATAACGTCGTTTAAGTATGAATTGTGGGAGTCTTTAATAAGATTGGACACGGAATTACGTTGGCGTTTGAAAGCTTTCCAGTGATGTTGGTCTTTTGTTCGAACAGCTCTTCTGTGGAGGCGATCTTTTTTGCGCATTTCACGCTTTATCTTAGGAGTGATCCACGGTAAACTAAATTTAGGTTTAGAAGACTTTTGAGGGATAAATTGAGAGATTCCAGTAGTTACGGCATGTTTTAAGGAGTTCCAGTTTTGTTCCACCGAGTTACCACATGGATTCGAAGCAAAAAATTCTGATGATGACTTAGATATAAGGTCATTTAAACCATCAAAATTAGCTTTTTTATAAATATAAGCTTTACGTGGCGGTTTAGTGGAGCGAAGAGGTTTCAAGTTGATCTCGAAAATTACAGCAAGATGATCGCTCAAGCCGGAAGACGTAAATACATTTGAGACACTGTTTGGATAAGTAGATAGAAGTAGGTCGAGCGTTTTCCCAGATGCAGGTCTAGTTGGAACTTTGCATGAATTTATTATGCTGAGATGCAGTCGCAGGGTGGGTTGTAGAAGGAATCTCCTGGTTCCAATCAATATCGCCTAGGTTGAAGTCACCGCCCATGATAATATTGGGGTGGTTTGGAACTCTCAAGAAGACATTGTTAAGAGAGTCGTCTAAATGGTCAAGTATCTCAGTGGAAGAGTTTGGTGGTCTATAAAAGGACGAGATGTATAATGTCTTCATATTTGCAATTTTGAGAGAGGGCCACAGGGCTTCGCAACCATCCACATTAAAATTCGGCTCTTCAATACTTGCAAGGTCTGATTTAATTGCTTGAAAGAAGCCTCCGCCGAACGCGTTTCTACCTCTTCTGACGACTGAATATGAAGGCGGGAAGATTGAATATGATGAAATATCTGGATTGAGTTTTGATTCAGTTCCCAGAACAATATCAGGATCGTGTAGATCAAGTAGAGCTTGAAATTCAGTAGAGTGTTTAGAACTTTTAAGACCATTACAATTAATTATCATTCCTTTTTAATTTTGTTTTCGTGTTGCGCTTCGATGAACTCGTCGCTGGATTAGATCTTGGAAAATTATTTCCATTGTCAACCACAGAACCAGACAGAATATGAAAAGAATTTGATAAGTTCAAAGTGTCTGAAGACAAGTCCAGAAGCGTAGGTGAGAAAAACTACTGAAAACTGGAAGGTCACAATCAGGGCAAATCCAAGAGCATGAAGAATTTGCAAGTAGTTGGTATTCATCATTATTCATCCCCAAACAGCGGGGCTTTTTACATGAACTGCAAGGATATTTCCAATTTGGGCCAGGATTGGTATCGATGTCCCCACAAAGTAGGAGTAGGTTTAGTAACAAATACGACTTGGATCTGACAAACATGGTTGAACTTCGCTGGTTGCGATAAGATGAAGCGAAAGCTTCGAAACCCGACAAACAAGTAGATTCAGACTTGATAGTAAGTTCACTCTTGTTATTTGAGTTGGAGGTGGCTGCAGGCGGTCTCGGGATCAAATAAAAGCGGGTAAATAGGCCAATAAACAGAAGAACCAACGGAGCTCGAAAAATATAC